GCCAGTGTCTGGGTCATATCATTATGAGTTAACGGGTGTGTGGCAGTTAAAAAATATTCCTCTGTCTGACAACTGTGTGTCTGACAAATGGAAGGACACAATCCTTCCAAATTATCTGGCAACCCAATAAACACACCAACGCATTGCACGATCTGGCATATCTGTGCCGAAATAAGCACAATCATCATGCGCATCCTTTCTTAAATGATGTAACATTGGCTTTACTTCGCCCATTGTTACTTTTAATATAGACAACGAGTAACACGAGTCACACACTGTGGCTCGTGGTGGTGTTATTGAGACATAACGTCCTTCAATCTACATCCGTAAATACTGAAACGTTATAACCATTCCCGATTAGTGGAACATAATATCGTATGTTACTCATCAGATTACAACACGCTGGAAAGTCATTTAGAATTAAAAATAAACTGTGGATCGCAATACTCATCATCGTTATTGATTGTAAAAAGCTTATTCAGCCATACCATGACCCAAATGAAGTGCATCATACATTGTACCCGTTTTGGGAATTGATCCTCCACTACCTCATCATCGATAGAAAAGGAAAGTAATTAAATGTGAAATGTTACCAAGGACACAGCAGATGTGATACCGCACCCTTTATCTTCTCTCAGTCTAATCAGTCAATGTGATTTTTCAAACCACCGACGGTTGTTTATGAGTATGAATGAATGAATGAGTGAGGTGAGGTGAAATGGGGTTTAACGTCGCGTCCGAGATTATTGCACTTATATAGCGACGTGCATGCACGTGTGTGTGTTTGTGTGGCTGCTTATACTAGTCCGGACTGATGCCGATTTATAGTGCTAGCTCACTGAGATACCATGCCGCAGTTTAACATGAATACCCCACTCAGACACAGTTTACTGGCCTTGTTTTAGCCCCTTAATGCCGAGCGCCAGACAGGGTAACAACAAGTACCATCTTTTAACGTCTTTTGGTATGACGCGGCCGGGGATCGATCATCGGACCTTCCGCTCTCCGGGCGGACGCTCTACCACTAGACCAGACTGACTGACTGACTGACTGACTGACTGACTGACTGACTGACTGACTGACTGACTGACTGACTGACTATTTCCTCCAGATAAATCCGAAGATTCTCCAAACATGAAGATTATGTAATGAAATAATTAAATAATAACATAATCAAACACATATATCAATGTCCCGCATATTTACAGGGTATAAACAGTAAGAAATATTGGTAAGAATACCACACGTTGCTTAGGATATGTCTAATTTGATATGAATACTTTGAGAATTCAAAAATAGTGAAATGCCACGTTATTTCATCAATGTCATTGGTGAAATGCCACGTTATTTCATCAATGTCATTGTTATCTGCACCAAGAAAGAATGCTAACATATCATGGCCTTACATCATCTCTATATCAACATACATTTCAACATCAAGATGATCAATAAGAGTGGAAAAGAATACTAGTACATCTCTCTCTGAAAGTAGACATTCACAGTTAAAGATGACATGGTGATAGTAATCAAGAGCAAAAATATTAAATTTGGTACATTCTTTTGATATTTTGCTTCTAGATCCAATCCTTATTACATACTGTTTCTTTTCTCAATTCTGGATGTAACATAACAATGCTGTATAACACATGAGGAGTAAGTGTTGTGTGAATTTTAGAATATCGAGACAGGTCAGATCCACATGATAGTTTATATTTCCATACTTCTTCCTCGTGTGTAGTTATTTCACTTCACAATCTTAACACATTTTAAACATATTTGCCTGGAGAAGACATTTGTTAGATTAAATCGATTCTTTGATGGAAAAGAGCTTCAAATCTATAGAGATAATGAAACTCCAAATGCAATAGACTTACATCAATTGCAATGTCGATCTTCTCTAGGTACACTACGCCATCGGTCATTCCTAATGGGTAAGTTGTGATTAGGTGTTTGGAATTTGAGGGTACGGATGGAAATCGTTTTGGGAAGAAAAAGATAACGTTCAAAGTTTGGGCTTGCCTTATTGAGCTGATACTATTTCTCGCGTTTTGTAAAACAATACATTTTAGAATTCGTTCAACTTATGAGATTAACCAGGGCGTAGTGCACAAAGACGGATCATAACATGTTTGTGTAAGGCAAATATTATTTGAAAGTTGTTTTACAAAGTGTAACCATGGGTACATATTCGGATTAACGTAACGATATAATTATAAACATATGTTTTAATTTGGAACGACCATTTTCAAAAGTAAGCTTATGCCAGAATGATATAACCCGTTTACAAATTCCAATATTTAAAGGTTCTCAACTCAATTCACCAATAGACCATAAAGTTTGGTGTTGAATGTCTGGGACCGGCTGCAATTTTGAGGAATTTCAGGTGTAACCTCTTCATAATATCTATATCATATAAGACCCCATACTTCCGGACGAAACAATAAAATAGGAATTACCAAAGTATCAAAAGCTGACAGTACACAATCCAGCGACAAGTTCAAGTTCCGCGCTTTCTTTTACAGATAGTACATAGCTTTTGTGGCAATTGCACTTAACATCCTCAGTCCATAGACAAGGGGTCTGTTCCTAAGGAACTGGATTCAAAGGAATGTATAACTATGAACGATTTCTGAAACCTTTGTCCCAAAGCAGAAATTTTAGTTTGAAGATTTTGCTGTTCCTATTAACATGCTTAAAAGCATGTGACGCTTCGAGCGTTGAAAGTCGCAGGAGGGCGTTAACCCATACATACACACTAACATAAACATATATACGTATAACCCCGTGGGGAGTCCGGGGAACAATATTTATCCAGTGCCCTAATGCTTGTCGCAGGGGTCTTCTAACATTACCATTGGGCGATTATGATCGGTGTTCTGTCTGTGTTTGTGTCATCGGGAGTGTGCTGAGAGACCGACACCTATATGATTAACAGATGCAAGTAGTGCTGCCAGGCTGACACCTATATGATTAACAGATGCAGGTAGTGCTGCAGGGCCGACACCTATAGGATTAACAGATGCAGGTAGCGTTGCTAGGCAGACACCTATAGGATTAACAGATGCAGGTAGTGCTGCCAGACCGACACCTATAGGATTAACAGATGCAGGTAGTGCTGCCAGGCCGACACCTATAGGATTAACAGATGCAGGTCGTGCTACCAGGCTGACACCTATAGCATTAACAGATGCAGGTAGTGCTGACAGGCAGACACCTATAGGATTAACAGATGCAGGTAGTGCTACCAGGCAGACACCTTTAGGATTAACAGATGTAGGTAGTGCTGCCAGGCCGACACCTATAGCATTAACAGATGTAGGTAGTGCTACCAGGCAGACACATATAGGATTAACAGATGCAGGTAGTGCTACCAGGCAGACACCTTTAGGATTAACAGATGTAGGTAGTGCTGCCAGGCCGACACCTATAGCATTAACAGATGCGGGTAGTGCTACCAGGCAGACACCTTTAGGATTAACAGATGTAGGTAGTGCTGCCAGGCCGACACCTATATGATTAACAGATGCAGGTAGTGCTACCAGACAGACACCTTTAGGATTAACAGATGTAGGTAGTGCTGCCAGGCCGACACCTACAGCATTAACAGATGCAGGTAGTGCTACCAGGCAGACACCTATAGTATTAACAGATGCAGGTAGTGCTACCAGGCCGACACCTGTAGGATTAACAGATGCAGGTAGTGCTGCCAGGCAGACACCTATAGTATTAACAGATGCAGGTAGTGCTGCCAGTCAGACACCTATAGGATTAACAGTTGCAGGTAGTGCTGCCAGGCAGACACCTATAGGATTAACAGGTGCAGGTAGTGCTACCGGGCAGATATCCGGGTATCGTTTGAAGTGGTCAATGATTTAACGTGATACTAGTGGGGACCACTTAACTGACGTTCACCTATACTTTTTGAAAGTTTACAATATTTTGATTAGCTGTTACTTAAAGAACAAATACTTTTCGTGAATAAAAGTGAAAAACGACATTTCCATAGTCAAAAGAAAAGCGTATCATGTCCTACATGTGGCACCCGTCACAAACACATGCTTAGGCAAGTTAATTGTTCACCTGAAAAAATACATGGGAAAATATGGTACAAGTAAAATAGGGAAAAGCCTTGGCCATTTTGTTTGTCCCTGATACTACAAATTTGGTATGTCTTTCGCGTGTATACCATAAAAACTTTAAAACCTTGTTGTAACCCTGCTCAAACAACTTATTGAAACTTTTCCCTTCCGTCTGACGTGTGTGATAGTGGTGAACAAAGATGAAAAATCAAATGTGAAATCAACATGGAAAGGGTTTTATCGCTTTTATTAACGAAATTGAAGCTGGTTCTTTTCTGAGATTTAAAAAAAGAGAAGTTATGAAGGAAACTATGAAGATCATCAAGAATATTGCCTCCAAGACCACTGACCCTCTGCGGCGAAGAAGTCAACAAATGGCGGGCTGGAGACTTGACCGAGGAGTCCAAGGCTGTCGTTAATGCCACTGCCGACCTTCCATGCCTAGAAGACAAATGTTTTCCAGGCCAGAAGAAAGTCCTTTCCCTCAACACCCCAGCAACAGAGCAGAGCGCGTCATCTTTGTGACGCTGAGGTAATGTACGGAACTTTCTATGTGGAGTCAACTCGTTTCTTGCAGCTGTATACACTTCACGCCTTTGTCAGTTTGTCATGTTCCCCCGAGTATTCTTTCTTCTTCCGTACAAGAAGCATCAACTCCATGAAAATTGTGGATATGGTGACCGCGTGTCTTCACTTTAATTACAATTTAGAAAAATGTCCATTCTAAATATCTCCCACAGTATGTTATTGATCTATTTACAATTCTCACTGCTAAATCTATGCATTTCATGAACTGAGCTGGAAAATATACACTTGTTTACTCACATCTTCTTATTTTTTAATTCATAATACAGACTCCCATACGCAAGGAAGTACTGCGAGGCCGGACTGGGCGGATATCAAATACTAATGTTCACTTACCCCCTCAAGCGAACATTCTTGTAGCTGTCCTTGCCGATCGCACATCTCAGGAGACGCCTTGCCCTGGCAAGTCCGGCAACTCTGGTCATCCTCAAACACAGATGGATCGTCCTCTGGAAGCAGAATATGTCAACATTGAGTTCACAACACCAGGTGTGCCCGAGTGAGTGTAGTGTGAGTGTGTGTGTTGGCGAATGCATGTTATGTGAGTGTAAATGTGTGCGTGTGCGTGTGAGGATGAATGAGTGAGTGAGGATGAATGAGTGTGTGTGTGTGTGTGTGTGTGTGTGTGTGTGTGTGTGTGTGTGTGGTTTGTTTGTTTGTTGTTTAACGCCGCACTCAGCAATATTTCAGCTATATGGCAGCGGTTTGTAAATAATCGAGTCTGGACCAGACAATCCAGTGATTGACATCATGAGCATCGTTCCTTTGGGATACGATGACATGCATCAACCAAGTCAGCGAGCCTGGCCACCTGATCACGTTAGTCGTGTGTGCGAGTGAGTGAGTGTGTGTATGAGCGTGTTTGTGTGTGAGCGTGTCTGTGAGTGTGATTGCGAGTGAGTGTGAGTGTATGAGCTAGCGAATGAGTGTGAGCGTGTGTGTGAGTGTGAGCGTGTCTGTGTGTGAGATCGCGAGTGTGTGTGTATGAGCTAGCGAATGAGTGTGAGCGTGTCTGTGTGTGTGATCGCGAGTGTGTGTGTATGAGCGAGCGAATGAGTGCGAGCGTGTGTGTGTTAGTGTAAAAATAACGTTATTAGTTAATGAATACACATCCAAGATTATTGCAGTTATATAGCGACATGCAAGCATGTGTGTGTGTGTGTGTGTGTGTGTGTGTGTGTGTGTGTGTGTGTGTGGCTGCTTGTACTAGTCCGGACTGATGCCGATTTATAGTGCTAGCCCACTGAGATACCATGCCGCAGTTTAACATGAATACCCCACTCAGACACAGTATACTGACTCCGAGCCGACCAGTCCTTGTTTTAGCCCCTTAATGCCGAGCGCCAGACAGGGTAACAACAAGTACCATCTTTTAACGTCTTTTGGTATGACGCGGCCGGGGATCGCTCTACCACTAGACCACGGAGGCGGTCTTGAGATACCATGATTCTTGCAGCAGCACATATAAAGCACAGCAGCTACTGCCGTCAGATCATGTTGCGCAATCTGATAGTCATGTGAATTACTAAAACTAGTACATACAGGTTCAATACCGATTCCTCCAATGCTGGCCATAGGATTTAGGTGAGCAGAGCGAGGTAAAGAACTGCCACTGTGAATGAGTGAGTCAGTGGGTGATTAGTGAGTGAGTGAGTTTGTTATTGCACTGATGTTAATTAAGCCTTACCATCACAGTTGAAGTCATCTTCGTCGACGTCCAGTAGGGGTAGGTCATTGGCATTTTTACATTTGAGATCATCAATCTCGAACTTAATATTACCAGTACTTCTTACGTTCAACCACTGCCTGAACGCCAACATATCACATCTACATTGCACCGGGTTGCCGCTCAGCATCCTGGAAAAAACAACAACAACACCGTGCAAAGAAGGTGAATCAGGTTGGAGGGCCATTCAAAGATAGCAGATAGTAGGTTACCATTTTGGTGACAACTGGCAACCAATGAATAAATCATCGGGCGAATCTTGGATTCGTAGCCAAGACCAGCAGGTCCTGGCACAGATAAGGGTGAATTTCTTACCATTGGGCTGTCTGTGCACCTTTACAATAGACTAAGGAGAAAAGTACATTTAATCCCACTACATAAGTAGTTAACGGTGTCCTGGCTGACACAAAGCCTGATCATTTGGGTGGTTTGTTGGTTTGTTGTTTAACGCTGTAATATTACAGCTACATGGCGGTGGGCTGTAAATAATCGAATCTGAACCAGACAATCCAGTGATTTACATCATGAGTATCGATCCACGCAATTGGGATACGATGACATGCATCAACCAAGTCAGCGAGCCTGACCACCCGATCACGTTCATGGCCTCTTACGGCAAGCACGGTCGCCTTTTGCGACAAGCATGGGTTGCTGAACACCTATTCTACCCCGGATCTTCACGGGTCTCATTTGGATGGTGTCCACAAGGCACCAAGTGTGCTTTGGCTGAATACTTGTCACCGTCAGTGCTCCGAAGACGTAGAAAATTACTCTCAGTACCGACTTCTGGTCTTTATGTGACATGGTGACTTCACAAGCCAGTTGACGTGTTCTTTAACATTGACTGAACGCTAAATAAGTACGGCCTCCATGGTCTAGTGGATAGTCTCTACCACGAGAGCGGAGGGTTGGTGGTTCGATCCCCTGACCGCGTCATACCAAAGAAAGCAATAAGATGGTATTTGATGAAAAGCTGCCGTGCTTTCGGCATATAGGGGATAAAACAATGACTGGTCGGCTCGGAGTCAGCATGAAGTAGGGTATCAATGTTAAACTCCGTCACAGTATCTCAATGGGCGGTCACTATAAACCCGGCATAAATAAGTGCAATGATCTTAAACGCGACGTTAAACCCGCCTCACGTTATTTCACCTCACCAACCTTACAAATATGAATGAGTTAGTGATAATATGTGCTTCAATACATGTGTCGATACACCGGTACCAGGAAGTATCGTATAAACCGATTTAGCGCTGGGCTAGGCCTTGTCCTTAAACGTTGAAAAATTAGCACACATGTACTTACACCCGTACATCCTTGTCGGCCGGTAAAGTGACAAAGGCATATCTTGAGATGTTCTGTAATTGGTTCTTGATCAAATTTCTGAAACAAATGATGATGACCGTTGGGTTGTTTGGAAATAGGTAAGTCATTAACTTCATTCGCCCCAACACATTCTTACACAGGATAGTACATATACACACAATATAAACAATGCGGGTGGTTTTTCCCTTCAAAACACAAATTTCACAGAGCTAATATTAATTTTATTTAACTATTTGGCGTTTAATGTTGAGTGATGTCACGGAAATGGCGAACTATTGATTGTGTTAATTCTGAGGTTTCTCTCACATCATGACTCAAGTGCAGGAAGAGTCGTAAAATTTCTCCCTTGATTTACAATGCTTCATTGATGTCCCTCGACAGTGTGGTGGAAACGTTCTGTTTCTTTAGATACGATATCTTCATACAGTGCAAATGATATTTTTCAGATGTCCGTTGTGATGAGCTGAATGGTTTTAATTCAGTCTGCTTTACAATTCACCGAGCGGTTAGTAAATGACTAAACCATAGGAAACAAAAGCAATGATTTTGATATTGTGAAGACCGATGTCAGATTATTACACATGCGGAAGAAAATATTCCGAACGAATAAACTGGTGGGTTATAATTTTTACAATTTTGATTTCGCGATTACTTTTTCTCAATTAATTTATCAATCATACCTAGTCATCATGTTCGTGTGACTATGATAAGTTTTATTTATGTGATATTATTGCAAATATGTATAAATATAATGCTAAAGTGAAGGATACGGGAAATATTTGTATATAAATACATATCTTAGCAAGGTTAGGAAGGGTGATATGTATGTCAATGCTCGAGAGTTGAATCCATACCGAATATCCCCCGCAGAAGTCGGGTAGGTGGGGTGGAGGATACCAGTCTAGCCACATACACCATGTGGGGTATGAACACAAGGCACCCTGAACCAAGGTTTTCTATCCACTTAAATATCGCGAACTCGACACGTGCACAAAAACATAACGAACTCTCGTGGTGTAAGATAAGATGGAGCCCTTCATCGAATAAAACAAAATCTAAAAAAGATAATAAAAGCATGCTCGTGCCGCTGTAAATTATTACCCCAGTCAACGAATCAAGTCGCACTCGTTTTACATCACCTCCAGTCGAGTATACAACCCCAGCTCTATGTTAGGCGTGTATGTCACTTATGAATGTTTTGTCCTGTAACTGATTTGATTATTTATTATTCCCTGTGTGAATGTATGTATTATTAATCGAGGAACTCACAACTCCGTTAGACTTGGTAGATGCTGGAACATCGGTGCAGGTATAGAGGTCAGAGCGTTCTCCTTCAGGTTCCTGTAAATGTCACAAGGAGTGGTGAAACAATGTGCTGGTTGTTTGCTCTCAAACAAAAGATAGAAGACTTTCACAGTAGTAAATACAGAGAAGGTATTAAGTAGAATACACCTTGATCTTGTTAGTATATGCACGATACATGTAGATAGATAAACGTCTGGCATTATGTTGAAAGTTGACAGCTACGCGCAAAATGGAGGTACTTTGCAGTGTGTTGGAGACGAAATGACGGGCATATGCTGACATGTATGTACCTTGCAGTGTGTTGGAGACTAAATGGCAGGTAAACGTTTATATGTAGGTACTTGGTAGTTTCTTGGAGACTAAATGACCGGTATATGCTGATATGTTGTTATTTGGTTATGTGTTGCAGACTTAATAACAGGTAGTTATGATATATAGGTACTTGTTAGTATGTGTAGACTAAATGACAGGTACGTGATGATGTATAGGTACTTGTAAGTCTATGTAGACTAAATGACAGGTACGTGATGATATATAGGTACTTGTTAGTCTGTATAGACTAACTGACAGGTGCGTGATGATATATAGGTACTTGTCGGTCTGAAAAGACTAACTGTCAGGTACGTGATGGTATATAGGTACTTGTCGGTCTGAAAAGACTAACTGACAGGTACGTGATGATATATAGGTACTTGTTAGTCTGTGTAGACTAACTGACAGGTACGTGATGATATACTAGAATAGGTACTTGTTAGTCTGCGTAGACTAAATGAGAGGTACATGTTTTAAGTAAATGTACTTGTTAGAAGAAGTACGGTACCAGGTAGTGTGTTGGTATGCTAAATGACACGTACATATAGACAGGTACGTACATTGTAGTTTATTGGTAGGCTAAATGACAGGTACATATAAACAGGTAAGTATATGGTACATGTAGTATATTGTTATGCTAAATGACAGGTACATATAGACAGGTGAGTATATGGTAGTATATTGGTAGGCTAAATGACAGGTACATATAGACAGGTAAGTATATGGTAGTGTGTTGGTAGGCTAAATGACAGGTACATGTAGACAGGTAAGTATATGGTAGTGTGTTGGTACGCTAAATGACAGGTACATGTAGACAGGTAAGTATATGGTAGTGAGTTGGTAAGCTAAATGACAGATGGGTAGGTATTTTGGTGGTGTGCTGGTGGCTAAAAGAAAGGTAGGTGCTTGTTCGTGTATTGGTAGGCTAAAAGACAGGTAGGCACTTGGTAGTATACTGGTATGCTAAATGACAGGTACATGTAGACAGGTAAGTATATGGTAGTATATTGGTATGCTAAATGACAGGTACATGTAGACAGGTGGACCATTGGTTGTGTATTACATGTATTAGAATATAGTATTTCACACACTGAAGATGTTTGTCGACTCTAGAATATGGAAGGTGTATCTGTTTACTTATAGAGTTTTCTATGAATGCTTAACTATGAATGTAAGGGTGGGTCAACTATGCAGAGAAATTGGAGAGAGTGAACAGGCTTTACTCACAGTGTTTTCAAGCGGAATAAATTCCGGAAAGCATTGGGATGAATGTAATTTATCTCGTTGTTCTGCAAGAATCTGAAACCAATATACAAACACATAATACATGAACAAAAACAGCTTCCTGTTGATACTACATGTTTTAAATATACCGTAAGCTACGGTTATAACGGACTTAAAAGGACCACTGATTCAAATTCGATATAACCGTAGTTCGTTATAAGCATATATACAGCAAATGGCCGAGACCAAAAATATGTTCGTTATATCCGTCAGTTCGTTATAAGCGTGTTTGTTATAAACATAGTTTACTGTACCTGAAGAACTTAGATTTGGTATCCCTAGCCTCTACATCTTCTTGTATTTCTTATCTAGCTCCACGCAGTGAACTAGTGTCAGAGCATATACACGTAAAGGCATGTTTAGATCTAATCATGATTAGGAATGTGTTAACACCCCATACAAAAGAAACATTTGGTGTTTTCTGTCTTAACACATTTAGGGGCTTAACACATGAAATGAGCTATCGTCCCTAAGCCTAAACATCACCTGAACACAACATCCTCATTATCTAAACATGTTTTGACTTGCATTGGGCCTAAAAGGCAAAATAACGGTGAAAAGATATGAATGGATAACTGAAAATCAGTGAAAGCACCACGTGTTCGTGAAAAGAGTTCCTCCCACATTAAACTTGCACACGAATAAAGCTGAAATAGTGTTGAAAGCCGCGAAACTATTCCCTCACTACAATGAGGTTGCAACGTTACCTACATGCACGACTCGTACAACTGAGATCAAATAAGTGTATCAGTTCAAAGTTTAATGAATTTATCTGTAACTTACATAGTCTCAATCGACTCCGCAGTGCTAAAATCATCTTCTTCTATTCTAGTAACCTTGGTTCTAATCAGCGATCTGAAAGAAAAACAATGATGATTGTCATTAAGAATGTTATTATTATTATACAGATCAAATTAAAAAAATGAAGCAAAGAGGGTGGTTAGGCTGGTTAGGCTGGTTAGAGGGTCAGGCTGGTAAGGCTCATCATCAGCTCATTTTCCTTGACGCCCTCTATATATTCTTGGTCGTACCATGGATGGATCTCTGTGTCAAAACCACAAGCAAGTGGCCTGCACATAATGGAGTCTGGACAAGACAGACCATTAATTGGTATTACCTACAACGTGCGGGTACGATGAACGATGACAACGAATCATGCAAATGGTGGGATCTGCGAATACAGTGAAACCTCATTAACTCGAGGTCCTTTTAACAGTTGGGAACTGCGAATACAGTCAAACCTCAGTAACTCGAAGTCATTTTAACAGGTGGGAACTGCGAGTACAGTGAAACCTCATTAACTCGAGGTCCTTTTAACAGTTGGGAACTGCGAATACAGTGAAACCTCATTAACTCGAGGTCCTTTTAACAGTTTGGAACTGCGAATACAGTCAAACCTCATTAACTCGAAGTCATTTTAACAGGTGGGAACTGCGAGTACAGTGAAACCTCGTTAACTCGAGGTCCTTTTAACAGTTGGGAACTGCGAATACAGTCAAACCTCATTAACTCGAAGTCATTTTAACAGGTGGGAACTGCCAGTACAGTGAAACCTCGTTAACTCGAGGTCATTTTAACAGGTGGGAACTGCGAATACAGTGGAACCTCATTAACCCGAAGTCCTTTTAACAGGTGGGAATTTGCGAATATAGTGAAACCTCGAGGTCCTTTAACAGGTGGGAACTGCGAATACAGTGAAACCTCGTGGTCCTTTTAACAGGTGGGGACTGCGAATACAGTGAAACTTCTTTAACTCGAAGTCTTTTTAACAGGTGAGAACTGCGAATACAGTGAAACCCCGAGGTCCTTTTAACAGGTGGGGACTGCGAATACAGTGAAACTTCTTTAACTCGAAGTCTTTTTAACAGGTGGGAACTGCGAATACAGTGAAACCTCGTGGTCCTTTTAACAGGTGGGGACTGCGAATACAGTGAAACTTCTTTAACTCGAAGTCTTTTTAAAAGGTGAGAACTGCGAATACAGTTAAAACCTCAATAACTCGAAGTAATTTTAACAGTTGGGAACTGCGAATACAGTCAAACCTCATTAACTCGAAGTCATTTTAACAGGTGGGAACTGCCAGTACAGTGAAACCTCGTTAACTCGAGGTCATTTTAACAGGTGGGAACTGCGAATACAGTGGAACCTCATTAACCCGAAGTCCTTTTAACAGGTGGGAATTTGCGAATACAGTTAAACCTCGAGGTCCTTTTAACAGGTGGGGACTGCGAATACAGTGAAACCTCGTTAACTCGAGGTCATTTTAACAGGTGGGAACTGCGAATACAGTGAAACCTCATTAACTCGAAGTCATTTTAACAGGTGGGAACTGCCAGTACAGTGAAACCTCGTTAACGCGAGGTCATTTTAACAGGTGGGAACTGCGAATACAGTGGAACCTCATTAACCCGAAGTCCTTTTACCAGGTGGGAACTGCGAATAAAGTGAAACCTCGAGGTCCTTTTAACAGGTGGGGACTGCGAATACAGTGAAACCTCGTTAACTCGAGGTCATTTTAACAGGTGGGAACTGCGAATACAGTGAAACCTCGTTATCTCGAAGTCATTTTAACAGGTGGGAACTGCGAAAAGCAGTGAAACCTCGTTAACTCGAAGTCATTTTAACAGGTGGGAACTGCAAATACAGTGAAACCTCGTAACTCGAAGTCCTTTTAACAGGTGGGAACTGCGAATACAGTGAAACCTCATTAACTCGAGGTCCTTTTAACAGGTGGGAACTGCGAATACAGTGAAACCTCATTAACTCGAGGTCATTTTAACAGGTGGGAACTGCGAATACAGTGAAACCTCATTAACTCGAGGTCATTTTAACAGGTGGGAACTGCGAATACAGTGGAACCTCATTAACCCGAAGTCCTTTTAACGATATCATATCAACCAATATAACCTCGTGACACCTGCAGATTTATGTACTTCGCTCCATTTCCGCACGACGCTTATCTCGAACTTCGGGTAAATGTATGTCATTTTTGAAATCAAGTTAACTATGTCGGTGCCACGTAGCCAAGCGGTGCTGTGGTTTGTGTGGTAAGCTGGTTATCCAGTACATAGCTATATGGTTTAAACTGATTAAATAAGGGGCGGTGGGGTAGCCCAGTGGTTAAAGCGTTCGCTCGTCGCATCGAAGACCGGGGTTCGATTCCCCACATGGGTACAATGCGTGAAGCCCATTTCTGGTGTCCCCCGCCGTGATATTGCTGGAATATTGCTAAAAGCGGCGTGAAATCACACTCACTCACAGATGAAATAAGACAATGTAAAACTACTTACAAAACCTGGATTTTGGGATATAAATCATTTGGTATAGTGGTTATTGTATCCGTTCCTGTGCACGTAATCGTAGGCCTTTTCCCATTGACACATGAACAAGCGTCCGTATTACAGTAGGCCCTCCTCTGGCCTATCACAGGTGTTGTAAAGATAATCAACACAGGTAAAATCCACAGGTAATTATATTTCTTCCTCTGAAACATCGTGAACCGTAAACACCACTTCATGTCACAGTTTAGCTCACGACAGTCCCATACCTCCAATACACCCGCGAGTTGTGAAATAGAACACTTTAGTTAGCCGTAACCACAGGTATTTGAACCCACTCGCAATGAAGGCAATTCACAGATACTCGACATTCATTCAGATGTGCTCAGTTTCAATGCTCCATCACAGTACATGGCTTTGACAGTGGCGTGGTCCGTTATCAAATGTTGACACTGTTGGTGGGTTGGGAAGTGTGACGTCATGTGTGTCATGTGTTTCACTGTCGTCACGTGAAACGCGTCGTAATAAGAAGGCCTATGAGTAGCTTTTTGGCCCCTTATATTATCACCTGTAGCACGTTAATTTCAGCAGTTATCCGTGTCCTCTAAGCCCTCGCCATCTTCAGGTTCCGTTTTTAATGTCTTCTTAATACCATTTAAGCACAAGGTTCAATTCCACGCGATTTAGGCTCGCTGCATCATGTAGGTACAGGTGTTTCTCTGCCTGAATTCGTCTGAACGACCCCAAAGGCGACAGATCACCTGTAAGATGAAGTGTAAAACAGTATTAATTACAACACAAAATGAACTAATTTGGAATTATTTTAATAAATATTTTAAATGTAATCCTAACTTGAAGCACATAACAGTTCACCTCGTCACAATATGGCTGAAATACTGTCGATGTGACGTTCAATATAAACTCACTCAACTATGTGCAGCAAACAAGAGCATGATAACTAGCTGCTGTCCTCCCCTATCACAATGGTACAAGTAAACATACATAGAGAAGAGATCCGTGAAGATCCGGGGTAGAATAGATCTTCAGCAACCCATTCTTGCCGTGAAAGGCGACTATGCTTGTCGTAAGAGGCCATTAACGGGATCTGGTGGTCAGGCCTGCTGACTTGGTTGATGCATGTCATCGTATCCCAATTGCGTGGATCGATGCTCATGATGTCAATCACTGGATTGTCTGGTCCAGACTCAATTATTTACAGACCGCCGTCATATAGCTGGAATATTGTTGAGTACGGCGTTAAACAACACATAAACAAACAAATAAAACATAGAGAAGAATAAGATCATACTTAATTATACAAATACTATTTGTCTGTGAGTAGCTTATCCTAGATATAAACGACATGGCTTGTATCGTCTAAACACCATAAGCTAATTGGATGTGACATCAATGCGATTTCAAAGTAATAGCTACTATGACAAGGTTGTGATAATTTATGGATAACAACTTCTTCATTTACTGTAAAGGCGACGTTTTGATATAGATCCTTACACCATTGTCAAGCAAGGCTGACCGACAAGGGTATAAGGATCTAGACCGAAACGTCGCGATTACAATGAATAGAAGTTGTTATCCACAAATTATCTCTACTTTGTCATCCGTCAACTAAATAATGCCTATCAAACAATTTAATAGCTACTATAGAGAAAATATATACGTCAACGCAGATTCAGATTCCATTGGGCTTAAAAAGACAACATAGCGATGAAAAGTATATGAAGGGATCACTGAAAAGCAGTACTGACACCAGGTGTTCACAAAAAGGGTAAGCGCACCCTGCTTAGGTTTAATATCCGCCTGTACTAACTGATGTGGGTTATCTCTCGTGTTCGTAAATGTTCTTCTACAAACTAAATGCTAAGGTTGTTCGTGAGATTTGTACTGATACAGGTCTATTGGTTGTTAGGATCTGCCATCGTTAGCCTAGCTTGTCAGTAAAATGCCACAGATAGTTCAGCATCCTTCATATGTTGACATTGTGGGCGACAACCAAATATCAGCTTGGAGAGCGTATATATGTATAAATATACCGCTTTACCCCATGGAGCTGATGACAAGGATCTATATAAGTGATATCACGATATATTTACGATACATTAGCGTTCCTCAATAACTCAGCCGTAACAATGGTCATACAATTATATATCCTTAAAACACGGTAGGCAGTGTTCTATCGTAATATATCCAAATAAAAGCCACTTAAACTTTCCATAATCAACTCCATACTACGATTCCGACTAAATCATAATCATAAGATTGTGAATCACTACCAAATAGTCATGACACCAGGTGCTCGCTAAAATGTGGTGTATCCTGTCCTGTGAGTGAGTGAGTGAGTGAGTGAGTGAGTATGGTTTTACGCCGCTTTTAGCAATATTCCAGCAATATCACGGCGGGGGACACCAGAAATGGGCTTCACACATTGTAGCCATGTCGGGAATCGAACCCGGGTCTTCGGCGTGACGAGCGAACGCTTTAACCACTAGGCTACCCGACCGCCCCCTTGTCAGTGACAGGATACAACACATGCAAAGGAAAGAGAATTATTCACCTGAAAAATATATGTATAGATCTAAACATGAAACAGACGAGGCGGTTTCACTGGTATGTTCTATTTCTAGTTCAGGTACGTAAAATAGTGGAAGGGACTAGGCCATTTGACCATTATTGAACGATATCAGATATCAGAACGACAAGCATCATAGCATGTTATTCCCCATCGAAAATAGCCTTTGACAGTATTTTCCTGGTACCCAATCTTTCTACTTCCCTACTTAATGCGTAAGCACGGGTAATAAAATTCGAACAACAGAATCAGGTATTGACACAGTTGTCATTCTATGGTCACCATGTCATGTCAATTATGCATTCACGTTCTTAGTCATAACTCGGCATGACAAACAAATAATATATTTTGCAAAGCTATTATTCTTTCTATAAATACAAATACTAATGCACTGTGCTAACTGTATTGATTGGTTAAAAACTTACCACAGCTGGGGTTCAGCAAGGAACTACACTAACCCTTCTGATATTACAGCTCGCAAACTAACGTATACCGACATGCTTTATCCTCTGACAAATAAAACATACTCCTTTCCAGCTGATCCGAAATTTTGTTTTGTATGATAACTTGTTTGTTAATGAAACATATTGTAAGCGTTAGTGTCTTGACAAAATATAAATGACATGTTCATAACGGATTCACTACTATTCACTAATGTTCATGATTCTAAAAATGATTGCAAAACGATACATTTATCGCATGTAACCTTCATGCACGCACAACGCACAAGTTTTAGTAATTCACATGACTATCAGATTGCGCAACATGATCTGACGGCAGTAGCTGCTGTGCTTTATATGTGCTGCTGCAAGAATCATGGTATCTCAAGACCGCCTCCGTGGTCTAGTGGTAGAGCGGAAGATCCGGGGTTTGATCCCCGGCCGCGTCATACCAAAAGACGTTAAGAGATGGTACTTGTTGTTACCCTGTCTGACGCTCGGCATAAAGGGGCTAAAACAAGGACTGGTTGGCTCGGAGTCAGTATACTGTGTCTGAGTGGGTATTCATGTTAAACTGCGGCATGGCATCTCAGTGGGCTAGCACTATAAATCGGCATCAGTCCGGACTAGTCACACAGACACGTGCATACACGTCGCTATATAAGTGTAATAATCTTGGGCGCGACGTTTAACCCCATTTCACCTCACCTCATGCACGCCCAGCTTATGAAAATTTTCCCATGTGAGGATATAACATCTGTGACTATAAAAAAGAAGTCATGTGATCAAATAAAAATTCACAATGATTATTCATTATATAAATATTGCCGTTAATCAAACTTCACAGATATCCTTTTTCCTAAACGAAATCCACAAGTCATATCTTATAATGTGTATATTCATATGTAAAGAACAGGTGCGGTGATAAGAAAGGCGTAAGACCAATCAACAATAGTTGGTGTTCCCGTAAACACACAACAGAAGAGGGACGGGCACCTGTGGATAACTTCAAAAACTTTTAATACGATGTCACGACAAACAAAAACTGATCATGCATACTCAAGAGAATGAGACAGATTGACAATATGATAAGTAAACAACGTATATCCTGTTGAGCATGTTTTACCGACTTGAGATAAAATCTGCTGACATCACTCACAACATTCCATAGTGTTGTAAGCATACGTTATGAAATAATTGAACACATACATCTATGCAATAGTAGGGTCTGTGATCTACCCTATTGGTTAACAAGCGTTCACTCGTCACACAGAAGGCCCGGGTTAGATTCCCCACATGGGAACAATGTGTGAAGCCTATTTCTGGTTTCCCCTGCCGTGATACTGCTAGAACATTGCTCAAAGCGGCGTAAATCCATACTCATTCACTCACTCACTATAATACCGAGGGTGCCCAAAACATGTCCTCAATCCACAAAAAAACAACGGCTAACCATCGATTACATATCCTTATAGACACAAAGACGTAATACGAAATTTGTATAATTTAACAAGAAATTATTCTTATAGTATTATTTCATCTTGCTTGTCATAAAGGTATTACCGAATATCCATCCACTTAAGCCTATAATGAACCAGAATACCATGCTGTAGGACATCCCGTATGCAATGTGAATATGACAGCTTTCACAGACATACTAATAGGATATTTTCAACCGTCCTCAATTCCCTAAGGTTCTGGTGTTTGCAGATCAACAACATACATTAATATGAAAAACACCAGGTGAAGTTCCAGTGGCATCTTTTTACAAAGTAAAGGTATGAGGTCAGGGTGAAGACATTATAATGATTATCCCTCTTTGACAAAGTTGGTTGGTTGGTTTGTTGTTTTACGCCGCACTCAGCAATATTCCAGCTATATGACGGCGGTCTGTAAATAATCGAGTCTGGACCAGACAATCCAGTGATTAATGTCATGAGCATCGATCCACGCCATTGGAATCGATGACATGCATCAACCAAGTCAGCGAGCCTGACCACCCGATCCCGTTCGTCGCCTTTTACGAAAAGCATAGTCGCCTTTTACGGCAAGCATGGGTTGCTGAAGACCTATTCTACCCCGGAATCTTCACGGGTCTCTTTGACAAAGACTAACTTGGCTCTCTTATAGGAGGGATATTGGTATCATACTACATGATTACTCCCAGTTAAACTGGGTTAAGCTTCTGTGAGTCACGTTTTATCGAGACTCTTTGCCAGTATAATCTTGACGGTCACCACCCTGCTTATAAAGATTTCGCAATAAACTGATCTGGGTCGGATAGTCAAATATGTTGTAATGGTTTGCTTCACCACATGCGAGATCGATCGGGCGCAAGAATGAAGGTGCCATCGGAGTTTTATTGTTTTGTTTTATTTAGTCATATTCCTCAGTCGCAGAAGAATCATCATATCCGTTTTAAATTATCATGTCGGGGAGATCAAAGTCCAAGCCTGATTGCCTCTCCAAGGAATGCCCATGGCATTCATAACATAGCTGTAGTCTAGTCCTGGATGTATGTAGCAGCTATGTGGTTGTTGGAAGGCTCCATATCAACTGCTGCAGGCTCCTCTGACTTAATGGTTAGATGAGAGGATTCAGCCATGGTCATCGTTCATTAAGGTTTTACGTTTGGTACAGAATAGGCTTGTACTTGAAGTATGACATTTTACTTAAACGTGGGTACTTTCGGTTCTGTTGTTATAAAACACATTTCGAGTCACTGAAGTCAGGG